GAAAATACAAACAAGCAAAATCATTTGAACAATGATAAGACCAAAAAACGAACAGAAAGAAAATCTAATACATCATATCACAAAATAAATTACATTCCACAATTAACAAATAAAGTAACATATATTTTTAAACAATATGAATTTAACGAGATAGGATTCGCCAAATATAATAATAACAAAGTAAAGGATTATTTAACAAACATGAAAGATAAAATAAAAATAAAGGACAAAATTAATACAATATATCAATTAAAATGTAACAATTGTGACAAATCATACATTGGTGAATCAAAACATCATTTAAAGAAAAGACTGCGACAACATGAATACGACACAAAACAAATAAAAAAACATATATAAAACAGCTCTATGTTATCATAGTAAACAAGAACACCATACTTTTAATTTTGATAACCCAAAAGTATTATCAACTAGTGGGAATACACTAAATAGAAAAAATTTAGAATCTATACTTATAACAAAAAACATAGATAGCACAGTGAATTATAAAACGGACGCTGGTGGAATCGGGATACATTACGCAGGAATAATTCATGATTTAAATATATAAAATTTCTTTTAACAAATTCCATAAAAAGATGTAAAAATATACAAGTTGAGGTAATACAAGAATACGTTTTTCCCCACCTGAGTATACAAGTTTTCGACACACGTTTCAAACAACATGGAATTATTCCATCGATAATTTTGCAGTCAGCGATACGTGATATTAAAATAAAATTTACAATGTAAGATTGCGCTAAGAGGGTACGTGATTATTTATAGAAATATAATTTTAAACGTTTTAAATTATTGTATTTGGTATGTCGTTGTATAGTTTTGATGTTTTAATTTAATTTTAGATGATAATTTCTTGATAATGAGCACTATAAAGCTCGAAACGTCGAAGAAATAATGTTTTAATTTTATAAAAAATAAAACAAATTAACACTGAGAAGAAGTGATATAAACCACTTCTTACGACTAAAAAAATTTGAATCTCGGTAACACAAAAATTTTATATTTTGAAACAATTTATACACTAAATTACTACACAGGTGTTTTAAAATTAGGATCCTAGAACGACGTTTCAATTAACCCTGTATACCGACTAAATGACCAAGGCTGGATATTGAACATGAAATTAGACATTTTTATCTAAAGTTTGCTGAAAAAATCATGAAAATTGAACGAAAAATAAAAAAGTTATCACATTTCAGACTTTACCAAATATTAGCATGTTGTGTTTTCTTTGCACCTGAGTGTACATGAAATTGTTGGAAGAACAAGGATTCATCTAAACAATGTATGTATGTATTTAAACTGAAATGATTCATATTCTGGGTAACATTAATGGCATGTTTTCTATGCTTTAATTACGTCTCTTAAATAAATTAAAAATAATTTATTGTCTTGTACTTGTATTTGGATTTGTTTTTTTTTTAGATAATTTCTTTTATTAATCGATTAGATAATATAATATCAATACATTTTAATCAAAAATGAAAGAAATTCAAATTGTCTTTAAATACAATTTCAGTGCTACCGATGAGATGTATACGAGACGCTACTCTAAGCATCGTCGTCGTCGTTCTCTCCCTCGACGCCTCTCTCTAGACGAAACCGACGCTCAGCGTCGAGCGCCAGTCGTAACCATGACGGACGAGTATACGCACGTAACCCCTTGTCGAACTCCGCGCGGTACCAAGGGACGCTCGGCGTCGATTTGCGCGACTGGAGGATGTGGTGTTGCCGTTGGTGGTGGCAGCTCTTCAAGCATGGAAGCTTTACCACCCCTTAGCGGTGGTGGTACCCCTGAATCTTCAGGTGGGACACCAATAACTCAACGAAGAAGACGTCCTGCTGCACGTTCTCAAAGTGCAAGGATAACAGGAGGAAGGAGCGTGAGGAGGAAGGCCGCGCTTGCTGCTGCTGCGGCCAACGGCACTGAGGTCAGAGGTCATTGTAACAGTGAACCGAAATTGGAACAAATCGACGGTGTTGATGCTTCTTCACCATCGAGTGTTCGTAGAAAAGGATCAACCAGAAGGGGTACTTCTGTTTATCACAGGAAGAGTACTGCGTTTCTAGACGTTCCTGACCAAAGAAATGCGGCGGTTAATCAGGGCCAAGGAATTGGAAATGACGAAGACGAGGATTCATATCGGTTGAGGTCATTCAGCTTTAATTCGAAAGGAAAAGGTAAGGATAGGCTGCGTTTATTTTTAGGAGAATCACCTGCAATTAAAAATATACGAGGTCTATTAAAAAGTGTTTAGTAAGAACAGACTAAAAAAAGTGTTAAGGATTTTAGTAAACACGGGACGTTTGCCAAAACTTCGGGCGTAACCTCGAGAATAATGACGATATAACAATTATTCCGGAAATTTCCGGAAGAAAATATTTACAATGGTGCCAAATATTCTAAGTACGAACAAATAGTTTTGTTAATATTCCTTCTATCTGTATTAAAATTTCATTTTAGTATCTATAAAATAAATTCATAAGGTATTATCTTAAATAAGGCATCTTCTTAAATTTTTTTTGAACAAAAGAATACTTTTTTCATTACCGTTTTCCGCACAAAGCACACATTATGCTGAAGATGCCACAGAACGTCTTGTTCTATACTAAAGCAAACCAACTTCGTGAACTAAATCCACATCAGTAAACCGCTTATGTCTACACAACCTTGTATCCTCAAACACTCGATGTGCATTACTTATTTAGGCATCAATTGCAACAGAGTACCTTAGGCGAATATTGTAATAATAACCGAAAAATTAATTATAAATTAAATTTATAAATGAACTTTAAAAATTGAGTGGCAATACAATTAGTAATTTAAGCTATACAGATGGAGTGGACAGTAAATTTAGCTCGAACACCTTCAGTGAGTACGTAATGCCTCAATCAAGTGTTTAATAATTATCTACTAATTACATTTGAAGCGTCTTTTGATGCTATTTATGAACTTTAACACAAGAAATTTAAAGTGTTAAGAATACTTTTCTTGTTGTTGTTTTTCTTTCTGTAAACTGATATTGAAAACTTATTTTTGAAAAGATTTACGGTTTGGAAACGACTTCAAAATCGAACGATGAAAAAATAACCCGGAAAAATTACGCTTTCAAACAAAGTGCAAAAGGCTTCGACTGTAAACTCGGCGAAGCGTTATACTTCATCCGTTCAGTCGTTTCGGATAGACCCTGTTATTTCTGTCCTTTACGATCATTTTGGTTTGTTGTTTTACAAAGGATCATCGAGTCAAACGTAATAACCTTTTAGTGTTACAAATTTAAACCAATAATTGTGACGCAGTTTATAATTCCTTTTTAACATACCACGTCTATAATTGTAATTGTGATTTTGAAGATGAAATCATTATAGAATTAGACTTTTACACAACGATTTTTCGATAATTAAATTTTTTAAACAAATTAAAATGTATACATAAAACCGATATATTTTAAAATTGAAATTGCAATTTATTTGTTACTAACTGACGTTGATATATTCATTGTTGATAGAATTTTCATACATTTTGTGGGTTTCTAGTGTGGTAAAATCAATAAAAGCTTGGGACATCCCGGAAATCTAGTTGAGTTAAACCAGTTTTAGGGACACTCCATGAATCTTTTATGAGGGTTTTGGATACGTAATACTAAACCCGCGATGGTTTGTTATCAATTCTGAGAGGTTTTCGTTACTTCCGGTTACTAAATTTCATTTAAACCGACCTACCCTAATTTATAATGAACCTCAATAACTTTTTTTTTAAATAAAAAGACTTCATTTTAGACATTTCAATATTTTATAAATGTAAATTTTGTAAGTAAAGTTTATAACCTCAAGGTTCATAATGCTATAATGTTCATTAGCGGTAACAGAGTTAACAGTTCACTTGAGTAACATTTCGAATGTATTTATAATGAGGCAAGTCTGGATGTCAACCCATGCGAAAACTTATTTCGTTTGATTTAAATTCAGCGTCAATTGTGATCAATTATGATTATTATTGTTCCTTGAGTGACATGGAAATTCTTTGTCAATGAAACGAAAGTTTGAAATAAAGATTAATCTAGTTATTTTCATACTTTGCTTTGCCAAATTTCATTTTAATCTTTACGTAATTGGATTTATTCTTCTCTTTAGTGTCTCCAAGAAAGTTTTTGTTACCGAAAGTGAATAATGCTTTTTCGGAGTCTTGGTACTATGTTTCAGAACTGTTTATGTATTTATCTTCGTCACATTTTCCTTTAATTTTTGCTTTCTCATCCCTCAAATTAATATCATTTTCAGCAAGTGGATATTTGCTTTTTTGAGTAGTTTCTTTCTTGTGAATATTATACTGGTCTACAGTGGTATTGTTGCCCTAGATATAAGATTGATTTTGGATATATTTATGCTCACAATTCATAAAATTATCAATGATTTTGTAAGATTTGTTTTCTTTTTTTTTTAATCTTTATTTCATTTTACATTACAAAAATCGGCAAACAAGAAACAAAATAACAGATATATTTATGTCAGTTTTATTTTGACAAATTAGGATACATCGAAGTAAATAGAGAAAATGTCGAAAACATATTTTATATTTCCATAAAACACCTTTTATGAGCTTTTCTTTTATAATTTTTTAGCGGACAATCTCTTTTTAAAGACCAGCAGTAATCTGCCATCATGTGACAATCCCATCGAACCTGATACCTTTCCTCCATAGCTTTTAGATCCTGGTGGAACCGCTCTCCCTGTTTCTCACTGTAATTTCCTAAATTATCCGGAAATTCATCCAGATGATTGCGGAGATAGTGTAACTTGATACTCATATTTGCTCCTAGAGTTTGAAAGTTTGTCAACATATTTTTTACAATTTCTTCATAATTTGGTGCTTTATGGTTACTTAGGAAATTTTCGACTACCAACACAAAACTTTTCCAAGCTTTACTTTCCGGAACAGTCATAACTTTAATATGTGTCTCTGTTTTCCATCAATTGCCGTATTTGAGGACCATCAAATATTCTACCTTTCAACTTTTCCATACTAAGCTTTGGAAATTTCCTTCCAAAATATTTATAACTGCATTCGCCAAATCCGCCTTTACACCTGCTTTTAAAATTGACCAAGAGTGTTCAATTGGGTTTAGCATTCGACTGTAAGGACTTAGCCTTACAAATTTATGATGAAGAAGTTTTTGTTCTTCAACACTTGTTCAATACCACAATGACAAGGAGCACTATCAATGACTAAAGCCACTGATAATTAGCTATCTTCAGCTCTCCTTAAGCATTGCCTAACAAATTTATAATAAATTAATCCCAATGCGGCTACTGGCAGCAATGAAAGTACAACGACTTCCCTTTTTTGAACGACCTTGACTTTGCGAGATAAAGAAATTAAAATTGGTTTCGTTTTAATGTAAACATGAGGCCATCAAGGTGTTGTCGAATACACTCCTTGTTTACATTAAGCTGAAATTCATTTCGTAATGTTTCTTGCAACTGCTTAAGTGTGATTTTAGAATTTTCTTCAACTTTAAGTACAAAGTGTGATGTGATGTTCATCTGTAATTTTTATTTTATGTTTTCCTTCTCTTGGGTTTTCTTCTTGATTTTTTACCCATTTCAACTGTTCTTTTTGCAACACAAAGAATTTCAGCTAAATTGTACCAGACACAAGTCTTATTGTAAATAGCATAAATTTGACGTTTTACGTTTGCTGCTTCCTTTTGTCTTAATATAAGGCATTTTGTAGATAGTTTGTTATCAGTGACAATTTGTAATTGATTAATGTTATTTTGAGTTTGATTAGTGCCAATTTGAACTTGAAATGGTATAGAACAAATTGAATGAAATAATATGTAACAAAATTAATTATTTACAATTTTTGAAAATTTAATTTAAATGTGATAAATTATAAATGAGGAGAGGTTGAAGAGAATTGTTAGTATTTTTTTTGGGATCTACTTTTGGATGATAATTTTTAAAACAAATTGAGTAATTACTGAAAACCCGGACTCACTGTTGAGTGCTTTAACAGAACTCTCGATAGAATGATATTTGATGTAAAGAGGTAGCAGAAATATTTTCTATAAGGATGTAGCGAATATGTTTCCCCGATCTGAAAATGACAAGCTTCCACTCGGATCAGCGTTAAATCTAAGCACTGGATTCGGTAAGATTAGCCTTTGAAGGAGGGTTTCCTCCAGTGACACAAAATCGTCTAACATTGCCTTCTATGCATATTAAATTAGAGATAAGGAAGCACTATACTATAAAAAATCGCACCAAATATGACATATAGCTTTAATACATTAGAAAAACGATTCCAAAACTGAGAAAAATCTGCATGGAATGAGATCATTTGGGAAATAACAAGTCGGCCAACTATCTTTTATACATTAAGCAACAAATGCTGTAGTTCAAGCGATCTACATGCAACATGAGCGTTAAATCATATTTTCTTTTCCCCCGTTTTGATTGGTTTCTTGAATATCTGGATGATTTAAGCAGGATAATTTTATCACAATATCTCGCACTGTGGACGAGAAAGAGCAGGGTTATTGAAATATAATGAACGATTTTAGCTTAAACATTTTTGCTGTTCTGACAATTTTACTTTTTACAAAAAAATATAAGTTATAATATAAAGTACTTTGATTCCATCCCGAAGCATAATAGCCGAGGATTATTCCAGGAAGAGCACCTTTCAACAATAGTGCAGTGAAGTTTCTTCTAGGAAATATAATAAAGGGAGGAACCTCTTCGCGATTCCTGGTACACATGTATAGAACTAGCTTTTATATGAGGAAACTTATCGTCTGCGCATGTATGGAAACGTTTAGACTCCTCTACATTTATTTTATTTATTTGTGCATTATATTGTTTATTAATTATTTTATTATTATATATAATAAAATAGTTATTAGTTTGAAAATTGTATAGTAAGAGTTTTTTGTATGTTTGAAACGTAAATGCAATTGAACTCTATAATTGTTGTAAAATTGGGTAATTATTCTTGTTATTCGACAAAATTGGGGATTTAGTTTTGCCAATATACGTATTGTTAGTATTATTTACAGGTATGGATAGCAAAAAGCCGCTCACATAAAAGGAGCTGACCTAATAAATACAATCTGTTGTGTGATTCTGATGACGGTAATGATTCTCATAAAAGTTTTAATGTCAGAAATGATTATTCA